ACTTTCTCTCGTGACAGCTCGTGAATTCACGGAGTGGAGAAAGGGTTGCTGAGGGATGGGGGAGGAGAAGGACGGAGCTGCTAATCAGGGGGCACAGGTTCCAGTTAAGCAAGGGGCACAAGCTCTGGCGTCCTGCTGTGCTCCGTGCTAACTAGAGCCAACGAGATCACGTGTTCTGTGTTCTTGCCACAGTAGCAGAAGACCCGACAGGCCCTGGCCGACATCAAGGGTGCCTGGCACCTTCCTTGCCAGCATTCCTGACGCCAGCTCTCTCCTGTCCTTTCCATGTCTGCTTCTGGTAGCAAAAGTTAGAAGGAAAAAAAAAAATCCACAGAACAGGAAATACCCAATTCAAGAACTCCGAACCTTAACAAGAGCCCAGGAGGCCGAGGTGGTGGTGACAGTGACGGACCTTTTTGGGGTGTGGAAGCCTGACCAGCAGGCGTCCATCTCTGTAGGGGTGCAGGGCCATGGCCAAGGGCAAGCACGCCGGAGCTTAGAGTAGGATAATGACCACGGTCCACTCGTGGGGCCTCCTGGTGGCTCAGTGTCCAAGAAAAACTGTGCTGCTGCATCAGCCAGGCTTGGCTGTTGTCGATCCTCCTCTTTCATGGAAAACCATCTCCTCTGTGGGATGTGTCCACGCCCAGCGGTGGCATTTTAGGGAGCCCAAACCACATTGCATTCTCTCTGCAGAGGCCGGCCAGCATGCTCTCTGGGCTGGGCCGGCACATTGGGCTCTCCGAGAATGGGTATCAGTGGCAGGAGTATTGCCATCCCACCACCTCCAGCAGGGTTGACGTGCAGCAGGCAGATGGGGTCAGATCGGGTCAGGTGTGACCATGCAGAGAGCCTGCGGGGCAGGGGCAGTGGTGGGCTCTCCTGGATCCTAGGTCCCTCACCTCTGCTTCAGACCACATTCAGGCGCTCAGCACAGTGGAGAAGCCGCCTCTTCCAAGGTGTGTTCTGGAATCCTGAGCAGCACCTTCCCTGGGCACAGGAAATCCAAAGACAGGAGTCAGACGGTGTCCTGCCTTCAGGAACTCATGAATGGGTCAGAGCCATACGCAGGACAGGAAGTGGCTCAATGAGCCTTGGCCTGCTGCAGTGGGAGCGCCTCGTGGGGCCCCTCCTCCACCTCGTAGCATCACAGCTAGTTTTCAGTGGTGTGCTGGAGTCAGTGAGGGGGTGATGGATAAATTGCACACGGTTACCTTGCCCCAGGAAGAAGGGGTGTCCTGTATACCTGTATACTGAGAACCAACCACAAGCCTCTTCAAGCCCTACCGTGAATGAGATAGGCTTGGGAGGGAGGGTCCCATTGTAAGATTCCCCTTGTAGGTGAAGGGGTGGGAGGCAGTGGGGGCAGGGGCTAAATGGCCTCCACGAGGAATTCAAATACAAGACCGTGCAGCTGCAGTCAGAACAGGCTCAAGTGCTGGTTGTGTCGCTTGTTAGTTTCTTGGCCTTCGAAATGAAGACTGCCCAGGGACAGTATGCAGAGGGGTGGTGTGAGGGGGCACACGAAAGAGTAGCACCCTTGCGCGGAGCTGTAAACACCCCTGACCCATGGGAGTGAGGAAGGGAGCGTCCGATTGTCTGTTTTCTTGAGAGGTCAGGGGGTAGAACCAGCCCGACAGCTGTCAGAAAGAGGCTCAGAGATGCACAGGACACAGTTCCCCCTCCTTCTGCATCTCCTCGGGGTCCTGGCTGGCTGGTGCCTGCTGAAGTCATCTGTCATGGGGGTCAGTCTGTGGCTATGAAAGGAGTCAGCTGGGATGCTGGCAGGAGAATGTGTTGACGTGAGAAGGCAGTGGAGTTTCTGACCCAAAATACGTACTCAATCAAACTGGAGTCTAACGGTTTTTTGTGTACCTATGCCGCAGGTGGCTGGGTGACAGACTGGGTAGCAGCAGGAAAGCAGAAAGGGCTGGGGCTCTTCCTGGAAGATGGATGTGGGTTGGAGGCTGCAGGGAGCCCTGTATGGTTGCTGGCTGGAGAAATCTCAGTGTCACTCTGAACCATCAACTCGTAGGCCTAGGAAACTTGCGTGTCACCTTTGAGTGCTCCTGTGGTGTAACTTGACTTAAAGCTTTGATGTGTGAAATAAATCACACTTCAGGAACCCTCCTCATTGAGAACACAGGAATTGCAGGTGCAACAGGCAACCCCATGACCTCATGACCTTGGAAGTCCCGCCTGCTATGTGCAGGTGAACAGCCCAAAGCCGCTCTTTCTGCTCATCGGCCCTGGCTACACAAAACTCCAGATGAAATCGCCTGGCCAGGGAGCTCTCCATCCAGTGGCTAAATCTGAGAGTTTATAGTTCCCGTTTGCCACTCTGTTGTTTTCAAATACTTTCTTTAAAATTTTCTTCCTTGGGGCCAGCACTGCGGCATAGCAGGTAAAGCCACCACCTGCCATGCCAACATCCTGTATGGGCACCAGTTCGATTCCTGGCTGCTCCACTTCTGATCCAGCTCCCTGCTAATGCACCTGAGAAAGCAATGGACAATGGCTGAGGTCCTTGGGCCCCTGCACCCTCATGGGAGACCCAGAAGAAGCTCCTGGCTCTTTGCTCTTGGCTCCTGGCTTCAGCCTGACCCAGCCATCTGGGGAGTAAACCAGATCGCCCTCCCTCTCTCTCTCCCTCTCTCCCTCCTTCTGTCTCTCTCTCTCTTTGTATAATTCTAACTTTCAATTAAAACTAATTAAATCTTTAAAAATTTTTTTTAATTCTTTCTTCATCACCTAGGCCCCAAGCTAGATCCACTTCTCTTTCTTCTGTCCTCAGTAAAGCTGCATGAACACAGTATTCCATATCCAACAACAAGAAAGAAAGACAAAGAGCTAAGACCAGAAGAAATTGGAATATACATTAAGAAAACTGGCACAGGAGGAATAAATCTTTCTTGGAATTTTCTTAAAGGTTTTTTTTTTCCTTGAACAGAAAGCCAAACCATAAAGTAAAACACACTTGGTTGTTAATAAACAAAAACCTCCCATCTCTAAAATTTAGGTTTTTTCCAAGACAAACCAACGTTTTGCTCTGTCTGCTTTTCCTAATATGCACATTTCATTTAGCCCAAATCCTCATTATGGGAAAACTGTACACGTCCATCTCCAGACCCCAAGGCCTTCCCGGGCAGTGAAGTATGCGCCTGGTGGTTTCAGAAGCACTTGGCTTTTGTTCATTTCGCCAAAGGCAGCAAATCTTTAAAAATGAAATTTTCCAGGCACTCAGCCCCTAGAACGACCTTGTGGGGTTGGGTGACTTTGACCCATGCGGGCCCGCAGGATGTGTTACTGCTGCGAAGAGTGTCACTTGGCCGTGCCCTGTGCACTGTGCGCCACCCCTGGCTGGGGCGGGGGGAGGGGGATGGGTGGGGGCACCCAGGCTGTGCTTCCGACCTCTGTTCCAGCTGCTGTCTGCCTCCTCTGCATGTGCTCTCATCAGACTGGTCTGCATCCCACAGCTGTGTTTGGAGCAATGTGGGCTGTGTGGGCAGAGTGAGGGCTCCTCTGGGGACAGATCGCCCCCTATGGCTGGCCTGCTCTGGGTTGTTGTACCCCAGAAGTGAGGGCCGCACCCTCCAGCTCCACGCCTGGCCTTGCAGACCAAAGCGCTGCCTTCCCCTGCCGTGTGACCACTTTCAGCTGCAGCCTCAGCCCCACCCCTCCGCACCATGCAGGCCCTGTCCCTGTGCCCAGTGAGGGGCCCCACGCATGTCCTAGGTCTTGCCCTAAGCGTTCTAGCCAGGCAGACAAATTGAAGTGGGGCATCACTGGACTGGGGTATCCCAGAACTGGTAAGAATGCTTAGGGGTTTTCTGGTCTGGCCCTCCAGATAGTCAGAAGAGGAAATTGTGGTCTGAAAACAGCCTCCTAATGGTTAACAGTAGCATCAGAGCTGAGGGCAGCACTGGAGTGAGAGCCCATGGCTTTATGGAAGCACTTGTTGCTGGTACATTTCATCAGAATGTCCACCCCATTACATTGATCAGACAGCTGTCCACCGCCGCTTCAGCCTCTGCAAGTTGCTGTACCAGCAACCTAATAAGACCTTTGAAAATGTCACCTTTGAAATGGGCAGTGGAAGAATAAGTAATGGCACTCTGATATCACAATGTTACAACTTTTGTCAGCGCCTGCTGATAGTTCCTGCATGTTCATGGGCAACACTAGAACCTTCCAAATACCAATTTGGGTGATAATGTGTAGCTTAGGGCAACTTGGTACTCAAGGAGGTAGAATGTCCTTTCCTCCTAAACATGTGTTTTGTTTGTTCTTTCCACTCTTCTATAAGGAACAATATTACAGTAAGAAATCAATAACATTGCTTTTTCAAAAAAAAGATCGATTGATTGATTTGAAAATCAGAACTATAGAGAGAAAGAAAGATCTTCCTTCCACTGGTTCACTATCCAGATGGCCATGAGGGTCAGGGCTGGGCCAGGCCAAAGCCAGGAGCCAGAAGTTTCATCCAGGTCCCTCCCACAAGTGCAGGGACCCACACACATGGGCCATCCCGGGGCTTTTCCCATGCTATTAGCAGGGAACTGGATCAGAAGTAGAGCAGCCAGGACAAACACCATCATGCATATGGGATGCTGGTGTCACCAGTGGTGGCTTTATCCACTATACCACAAGAGAGACCCCAATCAAGAAGATTGTTCTACAGAAGGCCATTTGGTGAGTTTTTGGGGTGCACAGAACCTGATGGTTAACAGTGTCCCGGGACTTAAGATGGACTTCCAGATACATAGTTACCTTCAGCCGTCACCTGAGTTAACCCTTTTTGCTGTTGGTGAAGTCACAGGTTGGCGTGTGTGCCCATAGAGCGTGTGGCTGCTTGGCTGAGACTGTGTTTGCAGCCAGCACAGGGGAGCAGGCTCCCTTCCCTGCATGGACAGTGTCTCTCCCTTCCGGGCAAAGCGCAGACTCGCCAGCCGGGACATGGACATGCAGAGGCTCAGCTCCTACATCATCTTGTCTTGCAGGCTGTGCGGCTACCCACCTTTCTACGATGAAAACGACTCCAAGCTCTTCGAACAGATCCTCAAGGCGGAATATGAGTTTGACTCCCCATACTGGGACGACATCTCTGACTCTGGTAGGTCTGCCCCCTCCCCCTAGACACATGCATCTCTCACAGTCTCTGCCCTGCAGGTTCCAGACTGCAGCCCTGCAGGCTCAGAAGAGGCTGCTATAACAAAATCACCATGTCCAGGGTGCTTAACCAACAGAAATTAACTTCTCATGGTACTTGGGGCTGGGAAGGCCAAGGTGAAGGCACTGGTGAGGGCCCGCCTCCTGGTTCTCAAGGGGTGTGTCTTCTCTCCGTGCCCTCACGCAGTGGAGGGCAAGAGAGCCCTCTGGCATCTCTTTTATAAAGGGCGCTACTCTCATCCCGCATCCATGATCCAATCACCTCCCCAGTACCTAGGAATGAGGATTTCAAAGTATGCATTTGGGGGAACACAGCATTCAGTGCATAGCCGTACGCAAGCTACGTATGTCAGCCTGAAATGCAAAGTGGCGGATGGGCTTGGGGCATCTGGCCTTTGTCCAGTCAAGGGGCAAGGATTTGTTCATCCACCACTCCTAGCCCTTCCCTGATCTGGGCACTCTTGAACTAACATTAGGTAACACTTATTGAGCTCTGACTATGTGCTGAGCACGAGACACTCTGTACCTATGCACTCAGTCCTCAATACCCACCACCAAATGGGTATTGCTATTAGACCCATTTGACAGATGAGGGAACTGAGGCCCCAGAAGGGGAAATACCTTCACCAAAGTCAGCTGGTAGACAGCGGACCTAGGGTTGAAACCTAGATTCTCATTCTGTGGCCCGCGTCCTGGCTGTGATGCCATACGAGATGAACACCCACATGATTTGGCCAACTCCCTAAGCTTCAGCAAGGCGCTCACACTCCTTCCACCATGGGAAGAGGGAGAAGGATGGGATGAGATAGTGAGCAGGACACGGCGTATAGTGCCTGGTGGCCACTGAAACACAGCATCTCACTGTTTCCATTAGTTCCTCCTTGCTTGCTGTGAACGCCTCGCTTGCTTCTTCAATCTTCTAAAACCCAAGTCTGGAATATAGATCCACAAAGCCGGCAGAAAAGAGCTGCTTGGGGAATATTTTACGTCTCAGAAGGGCTCAGCCTGCCCCCTGGAAGCCCAGTCGCGTGGGCAGTGAGCTGCCAGGCCCTGCAGTGTATCAGATTTCGGGGCCAGCACACAAGCTGGTCCCCGACCTTCTCAGGGTCTTGCTCTGGGTCCCGCCCCATCCTGGGCTGCAGGGCAGTGTGTGTGCACTGCAGCTTCCGGCTCAGCATTTGCAATTATCCGAGTGGGCTGCCGAGTGTCCACGGCACCCAGCCTGGCAGGCTTCGTAGATGCTGGGTGGGGTTGGCTGAATCAGCGACGTCTCATGCACGGAGAGGATGTCACCCAAATAGCCCTGGTGGGCTGAGTGGACACAAATCATCATGAAGATATTCTCTGTCTTCTCTGAACCAACGGTGCCACTAACAGGCGTGCATGGGAGACTCAGAGCTGGGAAAGCAGGGGCCCAGAACGGGTTTTATGTCCCTTTGTTCACTTGGCCACCCTTGGAGTTTGCCTCCCTTTCCCCCGGATGCTGGCACCTTTTATGTGCAGGGTTCCAGGAGGGTCCATGGAAGGCTGATCTGTCTTTCACGATACACCTGAGGCCCTGAGGGTATCCTGCTGTCAAATAACAAACCCCAAAGTGATCCCTTCCCTTGTGCCTTCTTTCTGAACAGCAAAAGACTTCATTCGGAATCTGATGGAGAAAGACCCAAACAAAAGATACACGTGTGAGCAGGCAGCTCGGCACCCATGGTAAGAAAAGCCGCCGCGTCCTCTGATGCCTCCCAGAGCCAGCTTTCTGTCTCCTGTCCCCATTCATAAAATCCGCACAGCTCTCCATCTCATTCTCATCACTGACTTCCCTCCTCTCTCTGAGCCAGCCCTGAGCTCCTTTATTTCAACACACACTCTTCTGAATGCACTCACAAGAAACCAAGTGTGCAAACCGTAGCAGTAACGTTTTCAGTGCAGGAAGTCCACAGTAGTCAAGTTTATTGAAGGCAATTGCCCAGTGAGGTTTATTTCTTGCGTTTATGACTCAGTAGTTAAAGGCATTGAAGTGACTTACATTTTTTTCCTTTGAAGATGTTTTTCCAGATGGTGTTTCTTCAGCTGCAGGGGGGCTGACTAACTGATAGCAGTGTGCTTGGTGGAGGCCACCCCTGGGCGGGGTGGGGTGGGGTGGGGTGGGGGTGCCACTTATGAGGTTAGAACCTAGCTACCCTCTCAGCTGGCTGCGACTTTGGCCTCACACTTAACTGAGCCTCGATTTTCTTATCATTAAAATGAGAATAGGAATACCTAATCCACAGAGCTTGGGTCCCACCGCTGGGCTGCCAGGCAGGCTCTGTGCACCGCAGCTTCCTGCTCTGCTTTCACCGTCCTCTGAGTGGGCTGCCCGGGGTGCACCCAGAGGACTGGGTGTCCACAGCACCCAGCCTGTGACCTGGCAGGCTTAGTAGATGCTGGGTGGGTTTAGTTAAATCAGTGATATCTGATGATCTAACACACAGAGAGGATGTCGCCCAAACAGCTAAAAGAATACCTGATTCACAGGACTGATACAAGAAATAAGGGCGATATGGCAATAAAGGGATGCATACAGTGGTGCATGGTAAATGCTCAGTCCATTGTAGTTATTTTTATTGAAGCAGCATATCCATCCATTTTGATTCAAGTGCTAACAGTAGCACAATACCCAAAAGACCCATTGCACCATCCCGTAGCATCTCCTCCTGATCTAACCTGCTGGCTGACCTTGCAGAAGGACCTGCCTCCACCTCATGTTAAGTCACAACACCTGTCATTTGTGGCGAGTCTCATGTTCCAGGCACTATGCTCATTGCTTTAAAGTATTGTTCCCTTTTTTTCTTTACAATAACCTGTGAGGTGGGCTTCAGCTTCGTTTCAGAGATAAGGAAATACAAAGAGGGAGTAACTCAGACAAGACCACACAGCTAGCTAAGGGCAGAGCCAGGACTGTCAGATTCCCAGCCGAATGCTCTTCACCACCCCCACGCCTCCAGAGAGGAGAAGGAGAGAGGAAGACGGAGGAGGGGTGGGCGGGAGGCAAGCGCCATCCGCAGAGGTGGACAGTCTTGAGCGGGTCTTCCTGGTGTTTCCCAGAAGTCACTTTGGAGAATAAGGGCCCAGTGTGTGATGAGGAGGACAGTAAAGGTTTGCACACTAGGCTTTCAAGCTGAGAGACTGCCGAGACGATCTTGGGGGGAAGGACAAGACCCCTCACCCTTGTGTGCTTCCCCGGGCATCCCTCTGGAGAAGGCGGGAAGCAAGAACCTCTCATCCACCACACACTTTTTGAAAACGAATCCAGGGTTTTTGCTGGGAGGGCTGGGAGAGGCTCAGCGGAATCTGAGTTGAGTCTTGCAGCAGCCGATGGCTTCCGCCAGGCCAATAGCAAGGGGAGGAATTCCAAGCAGGGAGAGTGGCCAGGGCCACAGAATGGGGGCTTGGAACTGCCCACCCATGCACCATGCCACAAGTGTCTGATGTTTTGGAGGCAACAGGCAGGAGGTGAGACCAGAAAGGAGGGCAAGGGCTAGCAGGCTTCTGGCCTGGCCTGCTGGGCTCCCAAGTTCTGGCTCCCCCACGTATGACCTGACCCCTCAAGCTTCCTCTACACAACTGAGATCATAAATAACAAGACACACAGTCAGGCAGGCTTTTTGAGGGCTTAAATGAGATAATACGTACAGTGAAGAAGAGGAAGGGGCCTGGCCTCTAACACAGCTCCCAAATGTGCTGGTCCCTGTTATTTTATTACCAACCTAAGAATCTGGTCTTTTCCCTTTGAGTAGTGGGGGCTCTGGTGGGCTTTAAGCAGAGTGATCAGAGTTAGTGTAAAAAAAACGCTCCATCTGGCTACAGGGTCGAGAATGAGTGGAAAGAGATGGGGCATGGCCAGACTACAGCCCGAGGTAGAGACGAGGGAACCTCTGCACAAGGGCACCACGGCAGCGGTGCTGAGGACTGTGGGAGATGCTCAGAGGCAGAGAGGCTTCTTCCAGCAGAGCACTGATGGGGCGGGGAAGAGCGGGGTCCAAGGTGATTGCCAAGGTTCCTGCACAAGGGACTGGGAGGATGATGGTGCAGGGAGGGAAAGCAGGCTTGGGTGCGAGAGAACACGTTCCGCTTTGGGCTTGCCGAGCTGGACGGGCTGTGCTGAATGAGTTTGGGGAGCTCAGGAAAGAGGTCCAGCCAGAGACAGACGTCAGAGGCATGCGCCTGTGTCACATCGCGAGATGGGGGAGCTTGCAAGCTGTATGGAACAAAGGTCGTTCACCCTCCTCTGTTGGAGGAATTTTCTCCCAGCGCGTTAGCATTTTCACTGTGCCTTTCAAAATTCCCATGAAATCAAACTCTGAAAAATAAGAGCAAGTGCAGCAGATCCAAGCATCACAGACGCTCCCCCGCTTACCTGCATATCTGACGTCTTTGTCTCTTTCACGTAAATCACCTGGGCAGAGGAGAAAGCAGGTCCAGCCAGGAGCTGTCGGGGAACAGAATGAGTGCAGTGGAGCAGAGACTTTCACTGTCGTAGTCTGGGCACAGCCATTGTTCATGGAGAGCACCAGCTGTCACTCAGACTTGCTGTCCAGCTTTGTCAAGACCACCCAGGGCTGGGAGGTGCCTTCCCTTAACCTCAAAACGGAGACTGCGGACTGGAGAGGGCTCTTTTCCATCAAAGCCTTCCTTGCGGGAGGTCATCAGCCCATCTTACCAGATGTGTCCAAGCCCCTGTCAAGGTCTAGCCTTGCTCCTGGAGTGCGGTGCATGGTAGGGAACTAGCAGGTGCCGATTGGGAATAGCAAGTGGAGGTTGGAAACCCACGCTCATGTTAGGGTGTGAAAGGGGGGGTTTCCTCCTCCAGAACTCACATTGGAATTTGGTTGTTGTTGGGAGATGAGGCCTTTGGATGTGCTGAGGTCGTTAAGAGGGATTCCTGTGGTTCTCATGGGGATGGACTCGTTGCCGCTAGAGCAGCGTGTTTAAAGCAGGTGGCCCCTGTGTGTCGCCTCTTCCATGTGTGCCTTCCGTTTCGCTACCTGTTTTTCTGCCATGAGTTGGGGCAGTGCGTGGGTGGCCCCTCGCCACATCCACCACCTGCTGTGGGCTTTCCAGGCTTCCAAGTCACGAGCCAGTAAAACAAAACCTCTTTTCCTTATAAATTATTCCATCTCAAGGGTTCTGTTATAGCCACAGAAAACAGAAGCATCTTGCTGCAGGGCAGGACCTGGCCTCAGCTCGTTTATCCAGGTCACACTGTCCTGCACAGCCGTCTTCCAGCTGTTGCATTGATAAGCAAACTAAAGAGATGAGAGAGATTAATTTATTTCAAGGAACTAAGGCCTTGCCTCACTTGACTTTGCCGGCAGAGGCTGGCAAATCCATGGCCGGAAGGACGGGCCAGTGAACTTGCATCAGGAACACAGCCTGGAGGCATTGCTCCCTCCTCCTCTTTCTTCTTAAGACCATCAGCTGGTTGGATGAGGCTCACCTACACTGTCGCCACCCATCCACTCTACTCAAAGTCTGCTGATGGAAATGCTTATCTCATCTTAAAGTACTTTCACGGCAACATCCAGACTAGCTTTTGTCCAGAGATAAGTAGCGTGGCCAAGCTATGTTGGCACATAAAATTGACCATCCCACTCCTGAACGTTCACTGAGACCCCACCTCTCTTCTAGGTTCCAGCCACCTGGGCTCAGATCAGCCATAGGAAAGGGTAAGCAGGCCAGGAATCTGGCTTGACACTGCCTGGCATGCACGCCAGGCATCACCAAGCCTGTCTTTTCTTTGTTTTAATATTTATTTATTCAAAAAGCAGAGACAGAGAGAGAGAGAGAGATATCTTCCTTCCACTAGTTCACTCCACAAATGGCCACAAGGGCTAGGGCTGGGACAGGCCAAAGCCAGGAACCTGGACCTCCACCCAGGTCTCCTGTGTGGACAGCAAAGATCTAAGTACTTTGGGTCTTCATCCACTGCTCTTCCCAGGTGTATTAGCAGGGAGCTGGATCAGAAGCAGAGCAGCCAGGACTAGAACATAGCACTCTGTTGCAGAATGCCAATGTCGCAAGCAACGACTCCACCTGCTGTGTCACACCAGCCCCGACCCCCAAGCCTGTGTTGCCCAAGCCTGTGTTGTGTGGCTAGGAAATTGCAACATCAGCACCCTGGAGGGAGAGTGAGCCCCAATACAGAACACAAGAACACCAAAGACAAGCAGAGATGAGCTTGGTGGTCTGTGAGTGGAGGAGGACACCAAGACACAAACCAGGTGGTGAAAGAAGAGACTGAGTAGATGCCATGTATGTTGTTAGCATGGAGGTAAAAGCCAGCAAGCAAGGGAGACGTGAATGAGATGTGTGCCCAGAGCTTTCCCCGTAGGCATGTGTGCAGATTTATGAAGAAATGCTTCTAGTCTCAGAAGTGTGGGTCTGCTCCCAGGATGATCTGCGTGACCAGTCTCAAGCTCTGAGGTCTCCTGTAGTGTTGACGAACAGTGCTCAAGAGGGTGACACCGAGCATCCGAGACTTGGATGCCCTAGCTTCGCCTGAGCAGCAGAAGCCACGTCTACCAGGGCGCCCATTCAGGGAGGACCGTGCTATGCTCTTGTGGCCCAGGGTGGCTGCAGGATCCCCTGCCCCACCCCCAACACAGCAGCCTAACAGAGCCCGTGGGGACTACCTCCTACCCAACTGCAGCACCACCTAGACCGTGGCAAAGAGCACGGAACATTCCTCAGATAACTGCATGGTTGCATTTTCCTTACATCTGGGCCACTGGTAGTCCAGAGAAGGTGCGGGAGGCAGAGGTCAAGGCCCAGGCCCCAGGTGTTTTGAGACCACAACTGCTGACAGGCGAGGTCTCCCAGTTGCCCCACCCCCAGCAGCCTGTATTACCACCAGCAGCACTCTGCCAGGCTGTTTCATGGCTCCTGTTGCTTTGGTCCAGTTGTTTGCAACAAAGAGCTGGTGCAGATGCCTTGGAACGGGCATCTTTTTCTGAGCGCGTAGCTTTGGAATACGGAACAGGACCAAACAGGAGCTGTCCGAGAGAACACGCTGAATGAGGACACTGTTTCCCTCAAGGCCCCATGACTACCGTGTCAGGTGCGCCCCTCCTGCTTCACTGGTGCAGGTCTGGGGGCAGGGGTCTGCAGCAGTTGTCGGGGGCACAAAGCAGGTTCACGAGGCCTCCTTTTGGGGCCTGCTCAGGCCCTGCTGGGAAAAGAGAGGGGTGTGCTCAGAGGGGAAGCTGCCCTGAGCTGGCATATCACGCTGAATTTTGAACTAGGCCAGCCTGGCGCAGTCAGTGTCTAGGGCATCAACCATGTTTCCAGTGCCGAAGTGGAAGCAAGGCTGCCTGGGCGGTGACTGCTCGCCTGAATAAGCCCTGAGCTTGTTCCTGTCCTTTTTCCAGTGGTCTGTGACCTCCAGGCTGTTTGGTGACCAGGGCAGCGTGGGCCTGGGAGGTGAAAGCTCTCTTCCCTTACCTTCCAGGCGGGACTGGTGGCCCATGGATCTGGCTTCTGCCCCTTAGCTTATACAAGGTTCTGTCAATCATGTCTTAGGCGTCTTTTAGATAGTGGCCTGTCACTTAATAGTTTGGTGCTGCAGGAGAGGGCAGACGGAGGGATTGGAGCCCAGCAGAGACTGAGATCAGAACAGAGCTCCCTCTGAAGGTGGGGAGGGGGCAGCCACAACTTGGACATAGGGGAGGCCCAGGCTGTGCTTGGAGAGGGTGTGTGCGGGAGAACGAGGAACCGTGAGGGACTGCCAGGTAATTCCCAGCTCTGGAGATTCTGCACCAAGAGAGAAGGGGGAGATGTGAGACCCAACAAAAATACAGCCTCTTCCAAAAGGAGGTCGTGGGCAGGCCTCAGCCTGTGCCTGCTCAGAGGAGGCTCAGGAACAAGCCAGGAGCTCAAGGGAAGATCGCCCAGGACCCGGCAGAATGTAGGGTGGGTGTGGCCTGGCAGTTCTGAGAGCTGTCCAGGAAGTGGAGGAGCAGATGGTTGAGTGGGGTTGAACTCCCTCCACTGAGCGCAGAGGTGGGGGTCGCAGGGCCCACGGCATTGCCGATTAGAGCCTCACAGAGCTCAGCTCAGTTAGTGTTGACAGAACCAGGGGGCAGCCCGTGTGCCCGTGCAGTCCACAGAGCAGGCATCCTGTGCAGGGCAGAGTCGGGCACCAGGCAACTGAAAGCCGCTGGTCCCTGGGGGAACAATGTGGGGGCCGGCCAGTCGCAGCGAGGAGGAGTGAGGGAGGAGGACAAGAGCCTTGTCACTGTGGATTCTGGTGCTGCAGGAACTGGGATCAGAGGGGAAATGGAAGTAGGGGGAGGGCCTTGGCGGATCCCTAGAGAGGGCGATGATTGGTGGGAGCTGCCGGTGAGCCAACTCGGAGGGGCCCCCAGAACCCTTTGTGAAGAGGCCTCGGTCCGCTGTGTTTCAGGATCGCCGGGGACACGGCCCTCAGTAAGAACATCCACGAGTCCGTCAGCGCCCAGATCCGGAAGAACTTCGCCAAGAGCAAGTGGAGAGTAAGTGCTGACCCCACCCCCACCCCGGGGACCCGCCACTCCCCCCTGAAGCGTTTCTGGTGTCTAAGCGTGACTGTCAGCTGGGTGTGCAGCAGCTCAGCACAGTCGTGTTTGCTGACTTTAGCCATCATGAGGGTGCAGAGGGAGTGTCATGGCGTGAGCGGGACCCAGGGTGTGATTCAGTGTTTCCCTGTGTGGCTCAGGGAGGCAGCCGTGCCCATTATTCCTCGCTCCCTGGTTCTAAGAAAACCCCATCCCCTCTGTGTTTCTTCACTTTGCTGGCGCTTAGCACCCATGACTTTTATTAAAGGGATAGGGAGGAGGTGGGCACAGAAAGTCTGATTTGAACTCAACAACGTTTTTTGGTAAAGAATTGGACTGTCGGGGTTTTGTGGTCATCTGTGGATCACCTAAACCCTATCAGCCTAGCTCAGAACTGGTTGTGTTCTCCTAAGAGTCATCAGTGAGGGACCCTACAGAAACACAACTGATTCCACTGACCTACGTTATGGAGAGGAATTACTGTTGTTTAGGGCAAACAGAGCAATAACAGGAAAATAAATGCTATTTTAAAAGGCACATTTTTATGGTATTAGGTAATGCCTTTTATTATAAAAGTTGCATTCCTTAAGTAATGGTGAGAACTGCTTTATGTTTATTCTGTATATTTATATACGTATATAAATCTGCAACATACATTCTGACCAGAAAAGAGGGTTGAAATGAATGAGCATGTGTTTGGAAGAACGCACACTACAGGTTTTCTTTCTAGAACGTCATGAGAAGGCTTTAAGAAGTTGGCTAGTGGCTGGAGTTACAGCATAACCAACAGGACGCAATTGCAGACCTTTCTAATTGCTGGGATATTTTTGTCTCCTCTCTCCCCTCTCTGCAATGCCAGCAAGCGTTCAACGCCACAGCTGTCGTGAGACACATGAGAAGACTACATCTCGGCAGCAGCCTGGACAGCTCAAATGCAAGTGTTTCGAGCAGCCTCAGTCTGGCCAGCCAAAAAGATTGTGCGTATGTAGCAAAACCAGAATTCTGTAGCCGGCACATTGGACAGGTGTGGGTTGGAGGGCAGGGCCCTGCCTTGTGCTGAGCACCTGTTTGCCAGGCACGGTCAGTACTTTGTCCCATTTAGCACTCAGGACGACCCTGGGGCGTTACTCTGTAATCGGATCATCTCATCACTCCCAGGGACCCCGAGTGCCACCTGTGCATAAGACGTGCGTGGCTCACTTCTCCATCTGGAGAGAGGCTTGCGTGCTTTCAGAGCCATCTCCTTTTTTACTTCTTGCTGCGTGACTGCTCCGTGGCCAGAGGAAGGAAGGGCGGAGACTCATGGTTTTCAACGAGGATGACGGTTGGAGCTCGCTTACGAAGGGACATCAAAAAAAAAAAAAAAAATAAAAAAAGGTGGAAAATGCCCATTATGAAAACATGATACAGGGAGTCCAAAAACGTTTTGTACCAAGAGACACTTGGGTTCTCATTCCATTTCCACAAATGTTCTGGAGTCCCTCTGCATATTGACCTGGCTCATACCAGGCTGCTCCTGGGGCCCACCTGGACCGCTCTCAGTACCAGTCCTTGTCCCCCGGGGCCTCCCCTCCCCGCCCACGTGGCTCAGCAGAGGCTTCCTCTCCTGTCTGCAGAATTGCTCCATCGCATCTGGGACTGGTCTGGCCTTTGCCTTTTCCCAGTCTCTGAGAGGCTCCCTGATGCAGCCGCCCAGCCCTGTAGACCAGGTTCTGTGTCATCCCAGGGTCCTTTCCACCCTGTGGTCAAGGCAGGCAAACCCACAACTGATCATTGCTTACAGCCCCAGTGGCAGCGGGCCCGTCTTAATCGTCTGTGGCATGCACCTCCCTATGTCCGGCTTACAGAGTTGTGCTCCTTTAATAGACCCCATCCTCTCCCAGTGGCTCAGTGCAAAGCAGTTACAGTAAAACAGGAGAGGAGAGTTGAACACCATGGAAAAGGTTTTCCTCTGGGTAGGTTAAAGGCAGAATCAGGTGCGTAGACATTCTCCCTGCTCCCCAAACCCAGGCCATCTGGCACCCTTGTGGTGGGAAGGGAGCGTGAATTTGCTTCCGAAGCTCTGACCCCCGTGTGTCCGCTGTTGTCCCACAGGTCTGGCACCTTCCACGCTCTGTAGTTTCGTTTCTTCTTCGTCGGGGGTCTCAGGAGTCGGAGCCGAGCGGAGACCCAGGCCCACCACTGTGACCACAGTGCACACTGGAAGCAAGTGACTGGCCCTGGAGGCGGGGCCGGGGGTGGGGCCGGGGGTGGGGCCAGGGAGGAGGAGCCTCGCCAGCCAGCCTCCCCCCTGCCCTGCATGGTGCACCTTCCTGCGCAGGACTGGAAGACAGAAGTTTTTTATGGCCATATTTTATACTGCAATTCTGAAACGTTCATTTCTCACAAACTCTGCAGACTCAAGGGGAGCTGATCTCATAGGACCTGGTGCTGTACATAGGAATCTTGCAAAGCGCTGACTCAGTGGCCCTGCTTTTATTCCCCCCGGCCCCCTCCTCCCACCCCCGCTTCTCTTCTCAGTGTAGGGGAACCGTCTATGGTGTATGTTCTTTTTTTCATTGATGACACACACATACACACAAAAAGGTTTCAACTGGATTATTTAAATATGGGTAAATATTGTGCATTAGGGCTTGGCTTTTGGGGTTTTTTCCTTTTAAGAAGTATGCCCTCCCAAGTGCTAGCTCTTAGTTCCGTGACCTATATTGTTTGCTCTTCAAGAGGAGTTTAGTGCTACCCTTTAAGATATTTTTCTTCTCCTTCCTCCGAGGGAAATTTAAAGTTATTTTTGGGATCTGTCTCCAAGGCTAAGAGTGCACCTCACACCTCACTGCTGCTCCCTCTCTTCCTGTCCCCTTCCTTCGACCATGTCACCTTGCGGTTGTCTCTCCAGGGTGGCTTTGGGAAACCTGCAGGGAGAAAATAAAAAAAAAAAAAACTTTCCCAGCAGCTCCTCCAGGAGACCCCACCCAACCCCAGTACCCCAGGGCGCCTCTCGCCAACAGGGGTCAGCAGAGAGCAGCCTGCTCCCTCCCACAGGCCAGGCTACCGTTCTTAGGCTGCGCGCACTGCAGATGGAGCCGCCCTTAAACCAAGATGTGAGAGCTTTCCTTACAAACAGAACCAGCTGCCCGCGTCCAGCCCTCACGTCTCACAACGGGGTGACAGGTGACAGCTCTGATCTCAGCTATGCAGTTTTTTAAATGAATCTCTCTCTCTCTACGTGATTTTTTTTAATGCATTTCTAGTCTTATACTTCCAACGGCCTCCAACTCACACAAGTTGTTCCTCCACATCCATACCTTTGTAGTCTCAGATGAGCGCCATCTCAGCGAAGGGAAAGGAGGCAGCATGAAAAAGGATAGTAAAGAGAGGTGACCCGCCTCTCAGGCGGGACACTGGTGGCGGCAGAGATGGCCAGAGGTGGCCTCAACCAGGCACTGCTGGTGGAGTCTAAATAAAATCAAAGGCCTGTGGCTGGGAGAGTCACCAGATGCCCTAGTTTGCCTGCCACTGAGGGTTTTCCAGCACGCAGCACTGTTAGGTCCAGGCAAACCAGGCCACGACATTCACCATGGTGTGGAGAGTGAGCTTGCTGGGCCACCCCAGGCAGGTGGCCTCCCCCAGCCCTCAGGCCCACTTGGTCAGCCTGGAGCCTGTGGGCCCAGGGCGTCTGCCTGATGGCATGTGAGGTTGCTCTCCTAGCTGTTGTCCTCACACCCACCCCTATGCTCAGCCAGTTGTGGGAGGTCCTGTTAGGCCATCTTTGTCACCTCCACACCTTTGCCTATGTCAAGGCCAAGTGTTTAGTGATATTCCCCAGTGCTGCCCAGCACACACTCACATACAATGCCACTGCCCTCAGCAGCTCCACCCTACCTCCCTGAGCACAGCAGCACAGGTACCATGTAGAAGAGTGAATGGGAAAGCAGTCAGCTGGTCTACCTTACCCGCCCCCCCCCCCCCCCCCCCCCCCCACACATACACACACATCCCAGGCACTTGGCTGCTTGGCAGGAATCTTGCTTGGTGTCAGCAAGCACGTGCACACTGGGCTAGAAATCAAGCTACTACTCTTCAAAAATCTGTAGAAGGCGTAGGAAATGACAGCAGACCCAGTTAAGAGGCGAGCGTGGCCAGAGTTGGATAGGCATCTACCCACCCCCACCCCCCACATCTTCACAAGGGCAGTGACAGGAGTATTAGGAAGAGTGTTTGAGAAACTGAGAAGCCTCTGCAGGAGGTTTGATTGATGTTGCTTACTAGCAAGTGTCGTGAAAGCATTTAATTTCCCACACTATAAAAAAAAAGTCAATAGAAAGTTGCAGGGGGTAAAATTCTACCTGAACTTGGCACTGATCACTGATGATGTGATGATGTGTATGTACATGAGGCGTTAGGAGCAAGTTTTTTTTTTTTCTTTGTGCTGTACAAGATCTTCTATCCAGAAAGCAACATTCTAAGCCAAATTCTATTCCTGGTGATGAGGATCGTTAGGGAGGCTGCTGCAGGCGGTGCAGGTTATATGCAGGTGGTTTGACGGGGGTCTCTTACCTGAGATGCATAGAGCAGCTGCCAGGTGAGCAGTGGAGCCAGTTCCCTCCCTGCCGTCTGCGTCAGTTCTTGGCCATGCTTGGCCTGTGGCCGTCAGGTCTCCATATCCTACTGGGAGGAGCTAGTGACGGGTTTCAGCCCAAGAGGAGACTCTGGAATGCAACACCAGAAGTGCATGCAGTCTGGATGCTTGCAGACGTGGGCTGTGTCCTGTGTGTTAGGAAGGGGAGAAAGCAAGTGGTGCTTGGAACAGCTGCTTGGGAAAGCCTTGGCTGTTTTGAGAGTACCCAGAGGTTCTCTGCCGACTGCATGTGGGAGGAATGGTTTTGTTACAAAGGCAGGAGAGAGCCCAGGATGTGTCCTTTGTTCAGACCTGACAAACGGAGAGGTCAAGTCCTAGAAGCCTCACTCATGCCCAGCGTCACCAGTAGCAGCTGAGTGCTGCCTGCCCGCACCCAGAGTATCCAGCAGAGGCTGAGGGTGGACAGAGTCCACCACAGCTTCTTCCCTAACTCCAGGCACCCCCACCCCCACCGTGCCACCCTCCAGTTTGCTCTGTTCCCCTCCTGGAGCAAGTAGACTATGTTCCCGCATGGTGAATGTTAAATGTTCAAGGAGCGTTCTAGAATGCTCCTGTCCTTGGCTGCCTCTTGGTCTCTCCCTTCCTTCCCCCATCTTCATCTCAGAAGTGAGGCAGGCAGAGTAGCTGCTGTCCAGCTAAAACAGCAAGTGGGTGCCCACACTCGGGTCCAGTAGGCCAGCCACTTATCGCTGTTAATCCAGGCCTGCCCCGGTCTGGGCTGCCCTCTGCACCCCCACAGCCTGACTCCCCATCGGGCATACTGTGGGCTGGCGCCTCAGATTGGGATGAGGCAAAAGCAGCTGGAGGCAGGATGGGTAGAGCCTGCCTAGGACACAGGCATCCAGCCTGAGATGAGGAGGAGCCTAGTTTGACTGACAGCACCTCCAGGACTGTGCATGGCATCTGCAGTACACATGGTTGGTTCTCACCACTGTCTATTGCCCTGGACTCCATGGGAGAATAGAAAAGATAATCTTCCACACCCCCACCTTTTTATAAAGAAAAAAAAAAAAAAGGGAAAACATGCCAAACAGAAAAAGAAAAAAAAAAAACAACAGGCGTGATTTAGTGGTCTTGACCATGATCATGATTCTGGTGACTTCTAGAATTTCCCCTCCAGAACAGAGGGAAGCCTGTGGCCTTGGGTGCTGGGCATTGAGGCTTAGGGCAAAGGGAGATATCCGTGGCTGAACAGGCAAAGATTGGGTTCTTAGAAGACGTTAGCGATTTCATCAAAGGGATTTGGCAGATTGAGCCCCAGACTGAGTTTACACAGTGCTCATCTCCTGCTGTTGGTTTTGTCACCTTGTTGCCCAGCAGTCAAGTCCTGATAGGTTGTGGTGGGACACACAGGAGGGAGCCAAGTGGTCCCTGGCCTCCTAGCAGATGGTCTAAACTGCTGTACCCTACCCCCAGATGTGGACATCATATAAGCAGAAACAGGAGACCATGGCCCAGTAGAGGTAGACTGAGTATCTTAGGGCTTTGGGTACCATGGTCCAGCGGCCCAGCCAGAGCCTTGGCCAGACTGGATTTTTCCCATTGGAAAAGCCATACAAGGACCCCATTTTCCCAAGGCTGAAGGCTACGGCTTCCCCCACTTCAGCCAGCAAGGCCCTCCTATTTCATAGGAATCCCATGAGTGCACCTGCTAGGTTTCCTTAGGGTAGAAGAAAGGAAGGCGAGGGCTGGCACAGGGCAGCTCCTCCCATTTTTCATCAACAGAAATGAGTTAGACTCTCTTTGCACCCTCACTTCCAGCAAGTGCAGTGCAGGTCCTCAGCCTCAACCTGTGCACGCCGCCCCCGCATGTTCTGAAACCCTGCTGTCACCCCGTCACCCTCTGCGAGGTTTGCCTTTTCCTTACACACATTCCAGACCAAACACTGTTCTGTTTGTTTTCAAAAAGAAAATGTATATACTTGTATGTGATTTCCCCCGCCCCACCCCACTCTTTTGGGGATGGTACTTGGTCCTAGGTTGGGGCTACAAGTGCACCTGACGTCGGCAAAAGCTGTTCCAGGCCGTGGATCTCCAGAAATGACAGTGTTGCCATGGAAGAAGCTGCCTTGGGCTCAACAGAGTCCAGAAAAGGGGACTTACTGTCCAAAGACTCCAAGAAATTGAGTGTGCACACGAGGTAGTTCAACAGCCACAGCTGTGGTTAGCAGGAAGGATGAGAAAGGCCCATGTCCTGTTCGCCTGGGACCGTCTTGGAGGTGCAGTATGTGGCGTTCTGCAGCCCCACCATGAAGCCCACCTTGCATGCTGGCCGTGGGGCCTGGCCTGCCTCCCACTCCACCCAGGCGGCCTGGCCCCTGCCTCCACAGTCAGCCGGAAGGAGCGGGCCCTCCTGGACTTTCGCCACCTCCAGCAGGAGCAGCTCTGCTTGTGGCTCTGGGGGCTTCGCTTTCACAAACCTAAAGGCTGCGCATCTGGAAGCCAGACGCCCAGCATGCGGCTGCCGAGTCTGGGTTCGTGGATAAAGCAAACAGTGGAATGGCTTCTCGGTGTCTGTGTCTTTTCTACACCAAAGGGACAAACTGTCACCTTCACTCTTTGTACCAAGGCCGCTTCTGCATTCGCCGTATCCGTTTTTAACCTTTTCTGTCTCCGGGGAACTTGTCATACAATTATTAACGTCGTCAGATGATTTGCTATATGACTGTATTTTACTTACAGGTGATTTTATTTTTCTTATGGACAGGAGAAAAAAAATGAGGGAAGTGTTTGAGGCTTTAGTCTGAGGATGAGACGTCAGCAGGGACTCCAAAGACTCGGACACCAGTTAGATTGCTTCTCAGAGGAAAAAAATAATAGTCTGGACACATAGGATTCTCAGCCTGCCTGGAAGAGCAAGGGCCCTGGGGCAGGACTGATAGCCAGTCTGGGAGACAGGTAAAGAAGGAATGGGGGCATCGGCTCTGAAGTTCATCCTGCAGCACCCTCCTCCTGGGCTCCTTGGCTCTGCCAGTGACATGAGACGTTGTCCAGACAGCAACAGAACCGCTGCCATGCTGCGCTGCCTCTGGTGTCAAAGAGAGGGCAGCATGTTTGAGAGAACAGGTGTCTTAGTCCCCGTTCAGGTGAGGAGACACCTGAGGGATGCTGTGCCCAGAATAAACATTGGAACAACTTCCAAATTGGCTTTTGTCGCTACACATCACGTACTCACCCTTCTTTCGGCTCCCCCGACAGTGAGCATGTTTTCCAAAAGCTTACCAAGGTCAAACCCAGAAACTTCTCCCTCTCTTCTATTACCAGGCTTGCGATTGGTTCAATTTCTCCATAAAAAATGTGCTTGTCCAAAAGAAGGAAAACAGTGCATTTATCCCGTGCATGTAATAAAACGCTGCAAGAAGTGTAACCCACATAGGTTTGCGGCACTGCAAAATTGTTCATGGGTCTCTGTAGCAAATGATTCTCTGCCTTGACAATCATGTATACATATCAAGATTTCTATCATAATGACAATGAGACTGATGACTCCTTGTTTTCCTCCAATAAAGACAGTTAATCACCTTCCATGCATCTCACGTGTCCTCCATCACCCGCAGGGTGAGGGGCTTAGCAGCGCTTTCTTTCCTTCCCTCTCTCAAGTTTGGGTTTGAAAGAAGGAGTTTGAACTGAGACCCTGGTGTTTGATCTCACCTGCAGGTTGAGCAGGAAATGGGACGGGCAGAACCACCTGGCTTTGGGCTTGGGTGTAGATACTTGGGGTGAAACTCAAGGGTCAGGAAATCTCTCCATTTCCTTGCTGCTACATAAGGTGGCTGGAGGCCAGCTCAGATCCTACTGATCCCATCTTCATGATTGGAGTGAGAGCCCACAGTGATTTCCAGGAAGCACCCCCTTAGCAGGGGGAGACTGGGCAGCCGAAGGCTTAAACACAGCCTGTTAGTCTCACTGCCCAAAGGAAGATTCTCTTCCAAACAGAACACTGGCTGCTGTCTTTTATTTATTGGGGGGGGAGGGGGGAAACAGAGTGGTGGAGGAAGGCATTGGAGGAGAGGAAGCAGGGAAAAGAACTGTGGATCGTAGATCATGGAATACACATTGGTGGGGATGGTATCTGTCAACCAGACAGTTCTCCCAATCCAAACAGTAAGTGGTTGTGTGGAGAGGAGAAAAAATGAGTTGGATGTGTGTTACAGAAACATGGAAGTCAAACGCACACAGCCAGTGTCAAATGAAAACAGCATGGGCCTTGGGAGACTAAGGCTGTGTGCCAGAAGTAGAGTGGACGCTGTGTGATGTCTGTGTCTTTTTTAGTTTATCCTATTCAGTGTGAAGAGCGGACACTGGTTGATGCTGAGTGTATGGAACAAAAGAATTTTGGAGCCTAACTCTTTTGCTAAAGATAGGGCTCACTGAATAACTAGAACTGAAAATCTAGCCCAAGGAAAGGAAATGTGCAGAAATAAAGCTTCCTGTAGGAAACTGGCATTTATTAGGTCTTCAAGTCCAAGGGCATACAGTCAGGCCACTTCTGCTCAGCTCTGCTCACGTGACCCAGGAGGCCAGCTCCTCTAGCCTGCACATCCCCAGCTCCCTGTGACCTCATAAAGGCTCAACTTGGGCTGAGATTCACCCCACTTTTCCTATATTTCTTCCGCATAAGTTTTGGACTTAGCAATGCTCTTGAGACTTAGCTACCATTGACCATAACCCATGTAGGAGCTGGCTGTGAGAACAAGCACAAGAAGGAAACAAATGCCTCCTTGTACAGTCACAGGGTCGTCCATCTGGGGACAGCCATGCTGCCCTCAGCAAGCAGAGAGCTTGACAGAAAAAGGGGACACACACCGTGTGCACCCAGTCCTCCTGGCTGGCTGTGCCCCTAAGGAGGATGACTAGAGTATAACAGCTATTTCACGGAAAAAGACTTCAAAAGCGTAATGCCTTACATTTAAGTACATGCTGGGTTATTTGCTTGGGTTCAGTGTGGTCTTGGGAGTATGTCAATATAAGGGAGCTTCAAAAAGTTTGTGGAAAATTGATGAAAAGATCACATACATTTTCTATAAACTTCTAGAAGGCACTGCTTGTTGGCTTAGACCAGGGTTCCCTAGTTCAAGAAAAACCAAGGAAGGGCCGGCGCCGTGGCTCACTAGGCTAATCCCCCACCTAGCGGTGCCGGCACACCGGGTTCTAGTCCCGGTCGGGATGCCGGATTCTGTCCCGGTTGCCCCTCTTCCAGGCCAGCTCTCTGCTGTGGCCAGGGAGTGCAGTGGAGGATGGCCCAAGTACTTGGGCCCTGCACCCCATGGGAGACCAGGAGAAGCACCTGGCTCCTGCCATCGGATCAGCGCGGTGCGCTGGCCACAGTGCACCAGCTGCGGTGGCCATTGGAGGGTGAACCAACAGCAAAGGAAGACCTTTCTCTCTGTCTCTCTCTCTCACTGTCCACTCTGCCTATCAAATAAATAAATAAATAAATAAAAAAGAAAAACCAAGCAAGAAGAACCAGCTCCATTTTTGTACATATATTTGGTTGCAAAACCTGCCTTGAGTCCCCAGAGTATGTAAGAGTGCCCACGGGGCTGGCGCCATGGCTCACTTGGTTAATCCTCTGCCTGTGGCACTGACATTCCATATGGGTGCTGGGTTCTAGTCCCGGTTGCTCCTCTTCCAGTCCAGCTCTCTGCTGTGGCCTGGGAAGGCAGTGGAGGAGGCCCAAGTGCTTGGGCCCTGCACCTGCATGGGAGACCAGGAGGAAGCACCTGGCTCCTGGCTTTGGATTGGCGTAGCTCCAGCCGTAGCGAGCATTTGGGGAGTGAACCAACAGAAGGAAGACCTTTCTCTCTGTCTCTTTTGTCTCTTTCTCACTGTAACTCTACCTGTTTAAAAAAAAAAAAAAAAAAAAAAGAGTGCCCCAGTTGCCCAGTGTCTGCCTGACAGTGTGTGTGTGTATGTGCGTGCATGTGTATTCCAGACACAGCTTCCAGCTGAGGGAAGCAGTGGGGGCTGGTTTCCATTCCTCGCTCTGCACACCAAGCCACGTGCCCTGGCTTGGGGAAATGGTGCTTGGTTTTTCACTCAGTCCATAATGGAGGCTGGCTTGGGTGAGCCCAGTGAGCCTTGGAGCATTAGGGCTGTGAGCTGTAGGCTAACAGGGACTTTTATCAGATTCTGAAGGCTGGAGAAAGCTCCAGCAGGGAGCTCAGAATCCAGGTCTGGGCTCTCGGGAGAATTCCCCTGACCTTTTTTTGTTCAGGAATATGAGAGTTGAAGAGCACATTAGCCTTCAAGGGGCTATCCCCAAGGGCTTGGTACATAGAAAAGCACTTTATGGATCCCATTAGGCATCACCCTGGGAAAACGGTCTGGGTTTCCTTTTTTCACTGCACTGACAGGAAACCCAAGGAGACTTGCCTTTCAGTGCAGTCCATTGGCAGCTGCAAAATTAGATGTTGAGGCCCCAGAACCCACAGCCTCCCTGATCTATTTCTGCTACAGATACCCATCAGGCCCTTTCAGGAAAACCCATTCATAAGTTTTCATTCTTTCTGTGTATCCAAGCAACATCTTTTGAGCACCCGCCCTATTCATGGGTTTTCATTTGTGCTGAGAAAACTGAAGAAGATCTGACTTGAATCATCCTCCAACTTGTCACGGAAGGGGGGTTACCTAGAGGAGCCTTGTTTCTATTGGCATTGATAATAACTACCATTATTACTACTGCTGCTGCTATCACATGCTGACCATTTGTGTTCTAGGTACTGTGCTCCATGCATTCTGCCCAATGTCGTATTTCACATCAGCCTGAACAAGGAAAGTGCTCTGATTACTCGGGTTCAGAACGGTTCCATGATGAAGCCGGTGTCAGCTGTGCCTGGGTCAGACTTTCAAACTCAGCTCAAATTGACACCCAAGGCCATTTTGTCTTGCCTCTCATGATGGTGTTGTAGGTCATTGAATTCTAAACCGTGATGTCCGGGCCTTAGTAGGTGCTATGGTTTGGATGTGGTTTGAGCAAGTCCCCCACCCCCATCCCACCTCCCAAAGGTTCGTGTGGTGGAATCTCTCTCAGTATGGCAATGGTGAGAGGTGGTGTGGCCTAGTGGGAAGTGCCAAGGGCACTGGAGGCACTGCCCTCAGAAGGGATTAAGGTAGTTCTTGCAGGATCCCTGAATTAGTGCGTATGGAAGTGAGTTATTACAGAAGAGCAAGCATAGCTCCTCCCCCACACTCCAGCTTTTGGTTCCACTAGGGTAACTCTCCTTCTCACACGTGTTCTTACCATAACGCCATCTGCCATGAGACCCTCACCAGAGTCAGTGCCGGGCTGTTTGGACTTTCAGCCTCCAAAACTGTGAGTTCAATAAACCCCTTTTGTTCATAAAGCGCACAGCCTCAGGTGTTTCATTGTAACAGAAAGTGGATTCTTAGGTTGGAAGCCACTGAAAAGGATTGAGTTTGAGGAAGCTGACTTGACATGATCGATGCAGTTAGCATTTTGGAACATCACCATTCTTGGGTCCATTCTATATATGCAAGAGCAACAAATGTCCTGCAATAGCTCATCCTGGTCTCACATGAAGTCCGAGAAATATGCACCTGCAGAGAGAACAGAATTGTTACACCCAGCCTGTGTGTTCTCTGCTATCCAGTCCTTGCGTTTCTCAGGAGAAATGCCACAAAGGGAAGCTGGGCTGAATCTAAGATCAAAGAGGCAGACAATGACAACACTGCTGGGTTTTGTTTCTGTATAGTTTTGGTCTTGGCCTGATGAGTGACTCTGGAAAGTTCCGTTTGTGCACAAGGAGTGTGGTTCCTAGCTTCCCTGGCGTCCGCTTTTCTCTTCCAGATTGTCCTAAGAGCTACTGATATATTTTCAAGAAAGCGTCTCAGATCTCTAGTGCTGTTCCAGCCTCCCCCAAGAGGAACTGGATTCGGCATGAGCTCATGTTCCCACTAACGTGTTTGCCCCGGCAAACGCTGACTCTTTCCAGAAAGACGAAGCGGGCCCTTTTTTTTCCTCTCACTCCCCTCTTTGTCCCCTGCCTCCCTCCCTACAACCATTTCTTCAGCTTCCACCCTGTGTTTCTTTCCTGAGCGTGTAGGATCTAACTCTTTCCAGGGGTCTTGCTGGTGCAGATTGTCTATATCAAGCATGCCCCTGGCCCCGGGGAGATGGGGGAGGAGAAAGCTTACTCCAGAGTTGACAGAGGCACTGAAGAACCCTGCCAGAGAGAAGGACTGACACCTCCCCCCACTCCCCGCCCGACACATCCCCAGGGAGCTGGGAAGAGTGAGGCAGCCAGCAAGAGACTCCCCAAGCTGCCACTCCTCAAAGAGCGGCAACTCCAGGTTTTCTCACTTCCACTCCCGTGGATCTTTTTCAGTAGCATGGATTCGGATCCGGCAGGCAGCTCTGGGATGGGGCCAGCGCATCCGCGTTTGCTGTGTGCTCCCAGGTGGTGCTGCTGCTGCGGGGCCCTGGGCCACGCTGTGGAACTCGTCCCCTAACCGCATAGTCCAGCCACCTCGGAAGCCGAGGCCCAGGCCAATTGGATGGGGCT